AATTGCTTGGTAGTCGGATTATAAACGTGGTACGACCACCACCTCCAATCGATTCTACAGCTTTGCTTCTTATTAAAAGAGATGAGTAAAAAACCATTACGAGAGTCTATGATTCTAGCATAGATATCACGAGGAAAGAGAGGTGGTGAATTGTTTTCTCCTCCACCATTAATAACGGTTGCAATATCACATTGATTCCTCAAGTCGTCGGAGTGAGTGAGTGAGAGAAACGTATTTGATGGTTTCAGTTCGGAACATAGGGTTGAAGAAAAGGCGGAGACTTTGGGATGATGATGGGATTGCTAGAGGAGAGAGAAGCGAGGAGCGGAGATGAAAGAAAGCCATGCTTTAGAGACTGACTTGAACCGAATGAGGGATTTTGCCGACAGATACTGAAGGATCTCCACAGCCAGTTCCTCATTGCGCAGCGGTGGAAGCCATTAAATCAAACTTTTTATTGGGATTTGAATCTTGTGACTATGTTTGGCGCACGTATATATATATATATATATAATAATATTTTATATAAAAGAAAGGACATTAATATAGTAAGTTCACCAAAGTTTATCAATAAATTAAAATTTTTTTTCTGATTTTTGAAAAAAAAATTATAAAAAAATTAAATGGTTATGGAAAGTGATTTTTTTTTTAAATATTCTTTTCTTGTTAACCAAACTCCAAAAATATTTTATATAAAAGAAAGGACATTAATATAGTAAGTTCACAAAACTTTATCAATAAATAAATTTTTTTTTTCCTGATTTTTGAAAAGAAAATTATGGAAATATTAAATGGTTATGGAAAGTGATTTTTTTCAAAAAAAAAAAAAAATTCTTTTCTTGTTAACCAAACTCCTAAAATATTTTTAAAAAAAATTCCATTTCCTTTTTTTCTTACTATTTTCATCTCACCAAACGAAGTTTAAAGATGGTGTTTATAAGAAAATTATTTAGAATTATATATAAATTTCTATCAACAAGTCTCGGAGTATAGAAAGAGAGAAAAACGAAAGCATAGCATTGTGAGAGCACAATGGCAAGAATGCCAACACCAATAATGATATTATATATGTTAATATTTTTAGTTATAAAAAAAAAAAATCTTTAACTACTCATTATATAAATTATTAAATCATTTGTATATATTAATCATAATAATTGTATTTTATTAAAACTTGTGAGACTCGTTTAGTTAGAATTATTTATTAAAGTTTTTAAATACTTTATCTAGCTAATAATATTTTTTTCCAAATTTGAATCAAAGTATTAAAAAAAAAAATCAAAAATTAAAATTTTGAAAATTTGAAACAATTACTAAAGAAAATTTGATTTTCTTTCTTATATTAGTTTTCTATATATATATTTTTAGGTTGCACTTTTTTTTTGGATTATATATTTTCAATATATATATATATATATACATACACACACCTACTATGATGCAGATCAGATACAACTCCCATTGTTTGAGATTGAAGCCATATGGTTCTGTAGATGAATGAAATGAGAATTTTGTAGTAGTCAAGCAATTATAAAACAATAAAAAATAAAAAATAAAAATAGAAAGAGTTATCTTTTGGTATTTAACAAATGAACTCCTATGAGATAAAAGTTTACCTGCTTGAAACATTTCGAATACAAATTTATCACCCATAAACTCTTTAAATAAAATTCATTGAGATAAATTTATATTGTGTGTCAGTGGAGCAATTTACTTTCTTTTTTTTTAATGTCAATAACTTAAGATTTTAAAATACAAACTTTATTCTTATTATATCAATTTTATTTTAATTTTAAATAAAAAGTATTAGGGTAACTTACATTACAAGGTTTGCCATTATTTTTGTACAAAATTTCATATTATATTATTGTTAACGGTTGTAAAGAATATTTCTGACTCTGATAGGAATGTCTATAATGGTTCTCTTAATAATATTCTTGGAAACTTTGATGCTTTGAGTTAGTGATTTGACATGTAAATATGTCTCAAAAATAAATCTATCAAAAAGAAAAAGAAGACATTTGGTGATCCTCGGCGTTATTCATTGAATTAATGGCCATTAACCCTAATTGTATGAGCTCTCTCCAAAGAAGATGACTTTGAATGTTCAGTTCGATACATGTACGTTTGTTTGAATTTATTTAAAAATAAAAATAGAAAATTGCACATTATGATTTATAAGATTGCTAAATGTATGAATTTCAAGTACAAAGTAGAAATGAGTTATTTGAAATTTATGCCCAAAATAATTGCATCATAATTGTTAAAATATATATCACTCATAGCTTTGAGTAAGAGTTCTTATACCAGAAGGCAATAATAGAAAATTTCTATTTATGTAAATAAATCATTATTTTATTTTAAAATAGTACATTTAAAAGTTTTGCCGTGATTTCATTTTTACAAGCTCATTTTGTTTCACATTGAAAACAAAACAATAAAAACGAATTGTTTTTTTAAAACTTCTCATTTTGTTTCTCTCTCAAAACCATTTACAATAATTTCAAAATTTTCCAACAGAAAATCCAACAAAAAACACTACAATAAAACATAAACCACACATATGCAATGAATTTTTTTGAATAAAAATATTCCACTGAAGTAAATGAAAATTTCAACAATGGCACATAGCACAACCTTAATTAATAAAGAGAAAATAAAAATAAAATAAAAAAAGAAAAATTACAAAAATGCAAAGGTAAAATTGAATGTGAAGTAGCATAAGATCTGAGATGCTACTAAAGAGCACCTCTCAACTATTTGTGCCGTTTGTGAGAAGACATAAAGTAGGAGTGGGAGCAAATTTGAGAGTGGGAGTGTAAGAGCGGCAGAATTAAGTCATGAGTCGTGAGAATTTGAGAGAGCGCATGCGTAGCGTGAGAGCGGGAGAGCGTTCGGAGAGAGAGAGCGACACCTATCGAGAATGATTGTGTGACTTAGTGACGGTGCTACTAAGTGACGAAGCAAATTAAACAGAAAACGATGACCAAAATACAGTCATAGCCAACTTTCTTATATATACTTACACACACACATATATGTATTACTAAAACAATAAAAATGAGTTGTGTACAAAATATATACCTCAATGTTGCACAATAAAACAGTGTCGAAAATACAACTCAATGTTAAAACAAACATTGAGAATTGTAAATTTAATGATGGCCAAAGAAATATAACAAGTGGAGACTTAACTGGCATGAGATTGGCATGAATAACAATCTATTTTGGATTAACACCTATTTTATATATTCTTACTTAGTTAATTGAAAATTGACAGTTTAATTGATAATTCAGGTTTAAAAGATAAAAGTAAAAATTTATTTACAGTTATATATGTTTTATGTTAAACTCATGTCTTTATACTTAAATATATTTAAAGACATAAAAACTCGTGAAATGATGTTTTAAGTTTGAATTACTTATTAGAGTAGACTATTCTAGTTTATTAATAAATAATGAATCAAAGTTTCACATTATAGGAGCCCACATTAGTTGGGGATTAGGAATAAAGAGGTGCAAGTACTCAATTTAAAGGTAATGTCTATACTTCATCATTAATGTAACGATGTGATCTAAATATTACTATTTTATCAACGCAATTCATGATTACTATTAATATTTACAGGCGAGTTTAATTACTAATGATTCAGACGCAAGATTAACTCTCTTTCCAATGGTAATAAAAGCACAAAATTTATGAAACTTTTATTTTATTTTCATTTATTTTTTTAATTGAGTGGATATTATATTATGCAAGGGAAAAAGAAGAGAAAAAGAATTAAAAAAAATTTCTTCCCTTGAAAAACAAAATTTTAAAAAATCATATACTAGAAACTATCTTCTTCTGCAACTAACAGCATCCCATCAAAGAGGGACATTAACACACAGTAAAACAACCAAAAAAAAACTCAGCTTCATTTCCTATATATATTTTTTGGTTTACTATCAACAACAAAGCTTCAAACACAGAACAACTATAGTTTTAATAGAGGGCATGCCCCACTTATAACTCATTCTGATCATAAGATCATATGAATATTAGTCTCATATTACAGATTTGCAGCATTCATGCCACCTCCTTTAATAAACTTAAACAAAACTAGCAAAACTAAAAATTGGCCTAAGGCCTTGAGAAGAATTCATGAGCCTCATAAAACCGATCTAAGACGACATTGAAGAGGGGATGAATGGGCTCCAAGAGATTGGAATAAGGACCCATTACAGCCCTGGGCAAAGGTGGAGACGACATATGCAAAATCATTATCATCTACAATCTGCATCCCATATTGAACTAGGCACTAATATGTGGCGAATTGGTAAGTATCTAACTAAACACAATCTTCAGCTGAGCAGATGTCTAAATAGCTGTCCTATATTGGAGCGTTGGAACAGAAGCGTGTTAATAGTAGATTGAACGCACTAGCCAAAATAGAAAGCTTGAGAATGCGCACAAGTTGAACATGTTCAGTCACTGTTGAATGTTCACATCCGACCCCCCCATCTAGCCAAATATGCCCTTCCTCAAGCAACTAACTAAAATCAGGTTTGGCAAGATCAGGTGCCGTATAAGTCTTATTTCACTTATTCACAAGCCACGATACCCTTGGTCAAACAACCAAAATCTTCATTTAGGCAGTGGCAGCCAAATCTGGCCCTTGTTATCATTGAATCTCGCTTGGAAAACATGGAGCTAAAAGCTCGTGTCTCATATAAATTCTAAAAAGAAAAAGGACAATTTCTTTCCTTTTAGAGGTGAGGCGGGTAATTTTGCCTTTTTAGCAATGAAAAATTTGGTTGAACCATTTATGATTACTAATTTATAACTTAATATTAATTGCCATTACATACATATATAAATTTATCTTGCATTCAAGTGGACACAATCAATTTCATAATGAATCGAAAAATAATATATTCCATTCACCAATTGTATAATGCCTTAATAATAATATTTAGATAAGAAACATGACTTTTACAATCCAAAATAAAATTTTGCTATGCTATGGCACACATATTCCAACAGTCTCAACAATGACTTCGCTCAAAATCTCTTTAATAATTGCCCTGTTCTTGAGGAACTGTTCATCCAAGGAAATGTTGAGAGTGATGAAGAACTTGTATTTGATGTCTCCGTACCGGTCCTAAAGAGTTTTAAGTTTCTTTTAGCCGGAGAAGAATACAAAGTTTTAGTAGATGCACCGATTCTTGTTTATCTTTGTGTTCAAAATGTTTGGATGCCTTCCTATGTGCTAAAGAATGTTACATCGTTGATTAAAGCAGATGTTCATCTTGGAGGCTACTGTGTTCCATTAATGGATGCAGAACGACATGCTGATAGAGTAGTTGCGCTTTTCAGAGGAATTTGTAGTGTCAAATATCTATCTCTAGGGCACTCGTATCATGGGGGTACTTCTTTTCTTGATCATACTATTAATGTAGAATCTCTTATTCTTTTATATTTGTTGGAATTAATTGTTATTTTTTAAATTTGATTTAGTATATGCAGCACTTTCATTTGACTATTATGTTAATATGTTACCAAGGCTGTCGACTATGTTGATGATATAAAACTGCTTTCGTTCCCTAATCTGATTCGGCTGGATCTCCATTTTCACAATTGCTGTGGCTGGAAATGTCTACTAGACTTGCTCAATAACATGCCCTATATGAGGTATGTAAGTTGTTGCATAGTTGGCATCAATATAACTGTTCTTCTTGATAACTTTTCTGTGTGGTTTTCATTTTTTTTTTATTTTTTTTATTTTTTTATTTTTTGCCGTAACTAAAATTAAAGGGCTCTCTTGAATTGGAGATGTAGGGATAACGAACTCTTACCTTTTGCTGTATCTATTTTTGAAAGAAAATTTTCTTATTTTTGTTAATTTTATTTACATTGTAAGAACAAATGTCAATTAAAATCGAACACCAGCAGTACTTTAGAGAGGATTAGTCAATTCATAATGCAGTGTTAAAATTAAAATAATAATAATAAAAAATAAATAAATAACACATACATGAGAACTCTAGTAATAAGATGATTTTTCTAAACAGAACAAGGACAACTAAAACTCTGAAATAGTTACAGCCCTCAATGAATACCATAAAACAAAATAATATTAATATAATAAAATTGATGGACATAAAACAACTAAAATAGTAAAGTAAATAGATTTTAAGATTGGAGTTGAAGGTAGAATTAGAACACTGAAATAGAAACCACCCAACCCTAAGTGATTACAATGTACCACCACGATCAATCAAACAGGAAAGAGTGTCTCAATGTAACTATGGATACAAGAGTGTCTACGCCACCAAAAAGAATTAGACCAAGGATCATACCAAGATGCAATAGGACGGCGTGGTACATCAACACGCTTCTCAAAGGTGTTCTCCTTAATGTTGTAGGAGATGATCATATAATTCAGCTCGGTACGTACAACAAGTACCAAAAACACATCCCCTTCATCTTCAACATGAATTAAACTAAGCGCTGTATTCATACGGACAACCTCTAATGCAAGATCAACAACCATCGTCGTTGTGTTAAGGCAAACTCGATACTTGGTTGTCCATTTAGAGTAATCACTTTCCATCTCCCAGACTCTAACATTGAATCCCATATTATCATAATATCTAATATAATGCAAATGACCTCCGGACTCCCCAAAATGCCGGCATTTAAAACGTGCAGTGTATGGCGGAGATGGCATTGGGCAAAATCTTTCTTGATTGACATCAAAGTATAAGGAAGTTTTTCTGTCCCGGAAAGAAAGCCAATGGATGGAACCATTGCAATAGACTCCTTCACTCAAGTCCACATAATAAATAACATCCAGTGGTGATCTCCGCCAGTCATTAGTTTCTGACGAATAAATATGTATTTGAATCGAGCGGGCACTACCAGGCTCTGAAGCCTTAATTACCAAAACAACTTTGTAGTGAAGTGATTTTAAAGGATCGAAAACCAAATATACATTGTCACCAAGGAAAGAAGTGAAAGTGACTTGAAAAGGCCACGGTAGAGTAGAGAATTGCTTGGTAGTAGGATTATAAACGTGGTACGAGTACGACTCCCTCCAACCGGAACTACAGCTCTGCAGCTTAGAAAGATAGACAAGTAGAAAACCATTACAAGAATCTATGATTCTAGCAGCAGGTGAATTGTTTTCTTCTCCACCATTAATAACGGTTGCAATATCACATTGATTCCTTAAGTCGTCGGAGTGAGTGAGAGGAACGTATTTGATGGCTTCAGGTCGGGATCTAGGGTTGAAGAAAAGGCCAGAGACTTTGGGATGATGATGGGATTGCCAGAGGAGAGAGAAGTGAGGAGTGGAGATGAAAGAGAGCCATGCTTTCGAGACTGACTTGAACCGAATGAGAGATTTCGCTGGCAGACGTTGAAGGATTTCCACCGCCAGGCTGCCACCGATGATCTCAGCAGTGGAAGCAGCCATTCAATCAAACTTTTTTGTTCCTCTCTTGAAATTTGAATCTTGTGACTATGTTTGGTGCAACATACGCGTATTTATAATAAATTAAAAATAAAAAAAATTTAGTCATTATGAAACCTAAGAAGTTAAAAAAAAAATTATAAGATAAGGAAACTAAAAAAAAAAAAGAGAAAAAAAAACTACCTAATACAGTATTAAACTTGCTATAAAAATTATAAATAAATAAACAAGAAACCTAAATAAAAAAAAAATAGTACTAAATACAATAAAATTGTACTACATCCACTCCAAAACTCCATATCATTCCTTCTCAACAGAGGGCAGGGCTAGGGGTGGCCATGGACCCCCCAAAAATTTTCAAAATTTTTTTTTAGTAGCCTCCAAAATATTTATATTGTAAATAAATTTAATTTATGATCCCAAAATTTATAATAAATTTTAATTTGCCTCCCAAAAAAATTGTAAAATTATTATTTTATGGTTGAATTACATGTAATTTTCCATAAAAGAAAGGGCATTAATATTGTAAGTTCACAAAACTTTCTCAATAAATCAAAATTTTCTTGTGAGTTTTGGAAAAAAATTTATGAGAAAATTAAATGGTTATAGAAAGTGATTTTCCTCAAAAAAATTTCTTTAAAAATTTCCATTCTAACCAAACGTCTAAAAATGGTGTTTACAATAAAATTATTTAGAATTATATATAAATTTCTATCAACAAGTCTCGGGAGTATGGGAAGAAATAAAAACTAAAGTATTGTGAGACCACAATGGCAAGAATGCCAACAACAATAATGATATTGTATATGTTAATATTTTTAGTTATAAATAAAAAAATCTATAACTACTCATTAAATAAATTATTAAAGTACTTCTTTATTTTAATCATAATAATTGTGTTTTATTAAAACTTGTGAGATTTGTTTAGTTAGAATTATTTATTAAAGTTTTTAAATCTTTCATCAAGCTAATAATGATATATACTTGCCAAATTAGAATCAAAGTATTCAAAAAAAAAAAAAAAAAAATCAAAATCAAAAATTAAAATTAAAATTTTGAAAATTTGAAACAATTAATTACTAAAAAAAATTTGATTTTCTTTCTTATATTAGTTTTCCATATATATTTTTTTAGGTTGCACTTTTTTTTGGATTATATATTTTCAATATATATGTATAGTTACACACCTACTATGATACAGATAAAATGTGATTTTGGATGATTGGTCTTCCGGCTGCTTCTTCCTCTTCCTCTTCCTCTTCCAAAGATAGCAACTGTTCATTTCAAATGGAGTTATGACACAGTTAGCCTTGTATTGTAGTTGACTTTTGAAAATAGAAGTTTGACACTTAAAGTTCCCAAAATAAATATATAAAAAAAATAAAAATGAGTAGTGTGTTATTACTCATCAATCCCATTGAAAGAAATGTCACAAAATCACTCCGTTCATGGAGTGGGACATTCTTTGCTAATTTTATGATTGATTGATATTAAATAATTTTTTTTTAGTCATTTCATAATTTTTAATTCAATATGTTTATACACTGTGATTAGATTACACCGTGAAAATAACAAAGTTGGAAAAAATTGTATATTATTGTTGTATATAATTTTTTGAATAAAGTACCCTTGAATGTGAATCGTTCAAAAACTGGCTCTAACATGTTAAGGCCTTTGAATATGATAGGCGTGACCAATTTCTTGAGAATAACCAATTTCTTATTTTTATATTTGTATTTTGTATTAATAAAAAATATTAAACATATTGTTAAATGGATCATGTCGGATTAAGATGCAACAACACGAACTGAACAACAACAACTGCTATTAAACAAACGAAATGGAAGACGGACAAACGAAAATACGATACCGCCTCGGAGAGAAAACGAGACGAACTAGAGGACGAAGGGAGGATGAAGGAGGGAAGACAAGGTGAACCAAGAACAAGATAACAGAAGTTGAGGAAGAAAAGTCAATGACCAAAGGGAAGCCGCCGGTGCACGGTTCGGACGAAAAACAGAGGACGACGAAGGAAGAAGAGCAGAAGCCTGAAGAAGAAGAATACGAAGAGAAGAGAAGAAGATAAAGTAAAAAGTGTAATTTGGGCCCACGTATAATTTTGGTATACTGTATTCGTATATGGTAAGTATGTATTTTGTTTGTAGTATTTGTACATGGTAAAAAAAATACGGTCAAAAACTTAATGCTGAGATGGCGCTTCGTCATCGCTGACAAGGCAATGACATGACAAGATGGGCTGATGTATCTTCATCCTAGTCCTTAGATCTGTCATGGTAAGAGGTGCCATGGAGAAGATTATTGCCCGGAGTTGGTGCCGTTAGAAGTGAAATCAAGTATATGCTGAATTCAAATTAGGGTTTAATTCGAGACTACATCCACAATCAAATGGCAATTTCCTTGAAGACTACTATTTAGTCATAAAGTAAAATCCACTTCCTTGTCAACTCTTTCTACGCCCAGTTACAGAAATAAGCCACATATTTAGGGATCTCATGCTTAAACATAGCAGTAGTAACAAATTAGTAAACTCTATTAATCCATTCCTATATTAAAAAAAGGCCCAAGTACGAAGAGTTTCAAGAAGCAGGTACACTTTTGCTGTATATTGTCGATTTCTTGATAACTAATTTTTTTTTTTTTTCCCCCTTAATTAAAATTAAAGGGCTCTTTCAAATTGGAGATGTGGGGGTACTGAACTCTTATCTTTTGTTGTATCCGTTTTTTAAAGATGTTTTTGTTAATCTCATTTACTTTGCAAGAACAAATGTAAATTAAAAATGAACACCAACCAGAAATTTAAATACTTAATTTCAGTAAGATACCAAGAGTAAAGTAGAATAATAGCAACACAATTAACCAAATAAACACATGAGAACTCTAGGAATAAGAGGATTTTTCTAAGCAGAAAAAGGACAACTAAAACTCTCTGAAATAGTTACAGCCGAAGTGATCAATGAATACCATAAAACGAAATAATATTAATATAATAAAATTGATGGACATAAAACAACTAAAATAGTATTAATAAATATAATGTAAGGTAAATAGATTTTAAGATTGGAGTTGAAGCTACAATTAGAACACTAGCTGAAATAGAAACCACCCAACCCTAAGTGATTACAAATAATCAAACAGGAAATAGTGTCTCAATGTAACTATGGATACAAGGGTGTGGTGTCCACGAACAACGATCATGCCACGAAACATGACAGCGTGATACATCACCAAGTTTCTTAAGGGTGTTCTCCTTAATGTTGTAGGAGATGATTGTATAATTCATCATCTTGGTGCGTACAACAAGTACCAAAAACACATCCCCTTCATCTTCACCATGGATTAAACTAAGCGCTGTAATACTGTTGCAGACAACCATCTTCATCTCCTCTAATGCAAGATCAACAACCATCGTCGTCATATTAATGCAAACTCGATACTTGGTTGTCCACTTGGAGTAATCACTTTCCATCTCAGAGACATTGACATTGAATCCCATATTATCATAATATCTAATATAATGCAAATGACCTCCAGACTCCCCAAAATGCCATTTAAAACATGCAGCATATGGCGGAGAAGGCATTGGGCGAAATCTTTCTTGATCTACGTCAAAGTACAAGTTAGTTTTTTGTGAGTAGCAAGAAAACCAATGGATGGAACCATTGCAAAAGACTCCTCCATTCAAGTCCAAGTCCACGCTATTTAATGAATTATTTAATGATTTCGGGAAAGGATGAAAATCACCAATATCATCATCCAGTGGTGATCTCCACCAGTCATTGGTTTCCGATGAATAAATATGTATTTGAATCAAGCAGGCACTACCAGGCTCTGAAGCCTGAACCAAAACAACTTTGTGGTGAAGTGATTTTAAAGGATCGAAAACCAAATATACATTGTCACCAAGGGAAGAAGTGAAAGTGACTGGGAAAGGCCTCGGAAGAGTAGAGAATTGCTTGGTAGTCGGATCATAAACGTGGTACGACCGCCTCCAATCAGAACTACAGCTCTGCTTCTTATTAAAAGAGACGAGTAGAAAACCATTACGAGAGTCTATGATTCTAGCATACATAGCACGACGAAAGAGAGGTGGTGAACTATTTTCTTCTCCACCATTAATAACGGCTGCAATATCACATTGATTCCTCAAGTCTTCGGAGTGAGTGAGAGGAATGTATTTGATGGTTTCAGTTCTGGATCTAGGGTTGAAGACAAGGCCGGAGACTTTGGGATGATGATGGGATTGCCAGAGGAGAGAGAAGCCAGGAGGGGAGATGAAAGAGAGCCATGCTTTAGAGACCGACTTGAACCGAATGAGAGATTTCGCCGGTAGATACTGAAGGATCTCCACCACCGGGTCCTTGTTGCCGCTGATGATTTCAGCACCACGGTGGAAGCCATTCTATCAAACTCTTGGGATTTTAATCTTGTGACAGCCAAATCAAATCCTAATAAAACACTGAATTGCATTAATTCTATGTTTGGCGCACCATACACTATTTAAAAATAAAAAATAAAAAAATAAATAGTCATTAGGTAACCTAAAAAGTTAAGAAAAAAAAAAAAAACTACCTAATATTAAACTTGTTATAATAATTATATATAACTAAAAAAGAAACCTAAATAATTGGTACACCATCTTAATAGGTGCTCCAAAACTCCATATTAAATAGTAAATACAATAAAATTGTACACCATCTTAGGTGCTCCAAAACTCCATATCATTCCTTCTCAATAGAGACTCTTGTTGGCGGAAGGTGACACGAATATCAATTTATCACCCATAAACTCTTTAAATAAAATTCATTGAGATAAATTTATATTGTGGGTAGCGAAGCAACTTTACTTTTCTTTTTTTTTTAATGTCAATAACTTTATTTTTATTATATTAATTTTATTTTAATTTTAAATAAAAAGTATTAGGGTAAATTACATTACAAGGTTTGCCATTATTTTGGTACAAAATTTCATATTATATTATTGGTAACGGTTGTTCCTTTGATGAAAATTTCTCAGTCTCTATTGTAGTTCTCTTTAATAATATTCTTGGAAACTTTGAGTTAGTGGATTTGACATGTAAATATGCCTCAAAAATGAATTTATCAAAAAGAAAAAGAAGATATTTGTTGATCCTCAGTGTTATTTGTTGAATTAATGGTCATTAACCCTGATTGTATGAGCTCTCTACAAAGAAGACGATTTTGAATGTTCAGTTCGATATATGTGCATTTGTTTGAATTTTTTTTTGAATAAAAATAGAAAATTGCACATTCTGATTTATAGGATGGATAAATGAATGAATTTTAAGTACAAAGTATAAAAGAGTTAATTGAAATTTATACCCAAAATAACTGCATCATAATTGTTATAATATATATCACTCATACCTTTGATTAATAGTTCTCAAAGAAATAAAAATATAGCAACCCTAACCCCTAATCCTTGTTAATATAATGGAAAATAATTTCCCAATAGATTCTAGATTCTATAACTCCCGGATGTCCAATCTAAATTATTTCAGAATAATAAAAGCAACATACCTATATACCATAAGGCAATAATAAAAAAATTCTATTTGTGTAAATAAATCATTTTTTTATTTAAAAATAGTAAATTTAAAAGTTTTGCCGTGATTTCATTTCTACAATCTCATTTTGTTTCACATTGAGAAACAAAAACAATAAAAACGAATTGCTTTTTTAAAAAATCTCATTTTGTTTCTATCCCAAAACCATTTACAATACTTCCAATTTTTATCAACCGAAAATACAATAAGACTACAATAAAACATAAACCACAAATATGTAATGAATTTTGTTTTTTGAATAAAAAGATTCCACTAAAGTAAATGAAAATTTCAACAATGGCACACAACACAGACTTAATTAATAAAAAGAAAAATGCAAAGGTAAAACTGAATGTGAATTAGGATACAGATCCGAGATGCTACTAAAGAGTAACTCTCAACTATTTATGCCACTTGTGAGAAGACATAAGCAGCTCTTGTGCCGGTGCTACTAAGTGACAAAGCAAACTTAAGAGAAAACGACGACCAAAATACAGCCATAGGCAACTTTCTTAAATATATATATATATATATATATATATATATATATATATATTACTAAAAATGAAAAACTATAGAACATATGGTAAATGATAATACAATAACTTCAAAATCAAAATCAGTTGTGTCCAAAATATATACCTCAATGTTGCACAATAAAACAGTGTCGAAAATACAACTCAATGTTGCACAATAAAACAGACATTGGGAATTGACCAAAACAAAAAATATTATGGAAATGGATTATTTTAATTACTTTTTTTTAATTATATTTTAACTATATATATATATATATATATATATATATATGTGGATTCATCTTCAATTCGCATAATGTTACTTGTTTTGGCAAATCCAAAAAAAAAGAAAATAATATGTATTGTGATCATAGAAATTGAACGTGAATCCATATATAAGCATATGTGTATATATATATATATATATATATATATATATATATACTTAAAATATAAAAAAAAATAAAAATAAAATAAAATAATTCATTCCCATAATATTATTTGTTTTGGCAATCCCCAAAAATATATATATATATATATTCCTGTAAGTGTTTTTTGGCAATCCAAATAGAAAGAAAAATATATATTCCTGTAAGTATTTTTTTGACAATCTAAAATATTATTGATGTAAGAGATAAAATGAAAAAAGGAAAATAAAAGGAGAGACATAAGAAAAGATTAAATGATAATTTATTTTAAAATTTTATATTTTTAATTTTTTTAAAGACAAGGGACATCTCGAAGTGTAATACCAATAAGAAAGCACAGTAGCACTCCTCTTTGGAAGATGGTCTGTGATTAATGAATGATATTTTATTTTTTTTACCAAATTAATGAATGACTCACGAGCTCTCTATTTTCAGCCGCACGATGTGCTTTCTTGGGATTAGAGAGCACCAAGAAAACTGATCCGTTGACCCTTAACCCAACTCTCTCTCTCTGTTAACCCTTAACCCAACTTTATCTTTTTGTTTAACCCTCAACCCACTTTATCTTTATCTCTCTTCTTTTGCCTTCGTTTGTTATCGTATACCGTATTAGTTTAATTTTTTATTCATTTTTTCTGTGTCATTTGGCCCAGCAGTTTCTCGATTACTCTGTCTCTCCTCTCTCTAACCTCTCTGCAACTCATTTTCATTCTTCTCCTTCCCCTCCCCTCCCCGACCAGCCCAACGCTTTTATTCTCTCTCTAACCTTTCTCCATCTTTCATCTCTTTTTTATATATATATATATATGTACACACACGTGTCTTCTTTTGCTGCTCAGAGGGAAAAAAAAAAAAAAAAAAAAAAAAAAAAAAACAGATTCAAACCAAATTGATTGAAGAATACTTTAAAATTGTTAGATCGCGGCAATGGTGGTGTTGGATTTGTTGCGGTGGTTTTTTTTTTTTTTTTTTTTTTTTGTGGGTTTTGATTGTGGTGTTTGTCGGGTGGAGATTGTGGCGGTGATTTGGGGGTGACCGGGTGAGGATGGTGGTGGTTAGTGGCTGTTCATAGACAGGAGAAAGGGATGCCAAAAATATTTTCAGTTTGAGAAATACAGAGGGTAACAAAGAGGCATTTTTTTTTTCACCCAAAGATAGATGACTGATTAAAAAAAAAGCAAAACAAAGAGAGAGAAAAAGAGGAAAGCAAAACAAAGAATTTGTTTTCCTGTACCGGAAGAGAGAGAGAGCGAGAGGAAGTGAGTTAAGGGTAAAACACGAGAAGGATAAAGTTGGGTTAAGGGTTAACAGAAGAGAGAGAGTTGGGTTAAAAAATGTCTGTTTCTTTAGTGCTCCGAATCTCAAAAAACAAACACATCCTGCGGCTAAAAATAGGGAGCTCGTGAGTGCTATTGCGAGCGCGCGCTCGCAGTAGCACTACTCGCACTATAAACACACAGGTCAATGTGTTGGACTAGGCTTATTACACCCAACCAGAAGTGGACATGTGTCAAAGCTTAGAGCGATGCTCACGCTAAGTTTTTATTTTCTTAACTAAGTATTACTCCATAATATTATTATTTATTTAGGTGAGTTTCCCGCGCAGCCTGTCCCTCCCCTTCCCCTTATTCCATTAGGGTATATTATATGATTAACAACTATTTTATATGTTCTTACTTAGTTAATTGAAAATTGTAAAAAATTATATACTCTGTTTTTATGTAAAACTCATTTTTTATACTTAAATATATTTAAGGACATAAAAATTCGTGAAATGATGTTTTGAGTTTGAATTACTTATTAGAGTAGAGTATTCTAGTTAATTAATAAATAATGAATCAAAGTTTCACATATGAATACGTCTGAGGGTCGGAGAATAAAATAAAATAGTTTAAAAACTCTATAATTCAAGCTATTATCTACTTGAAAAAATAAAAAAACAAAAAAAAAACCTATTACCTACTTAAGCAACTCTTGGATACGAGGAGCCCACATTAGTTAGGGATTAGGAATAAAGAAGTGCAATTACTCAATTTAAAGGTAATGTCTATACTTCATCATTAATGTAATGATGTGATATAAATATTACTATTTTTTCAACGCAATTCATAGTTACTAGTAATGATTTACAGGCAAGATTAATTAGTAGATGATTTACAGGCAAGATTAACTCTCTTTCCAAAGGTAATAAAAACACAAAATTTATGAAACTTTTATTTTATTTTATTTTCTTTTTTTAATTGAGTGGATATTATGCAAGGGGAAAAGAAGAGAGAGAGAATGAAGGCGGTGAAGAGAGAGAGAATAATAATAATTTCTTCCCTTGAAAAACAAAATTTTAAAAAATCATATACTAGAAAATATCTTCTTCTGCAACTAACAGCATCCCAACAAAGAGGGACAATAACACACAGTAAAACAACCAAAAAAACTCAGCTTCATTTCCTATATATATATTTTTAATTCCTGCAGCAATAGAGGGCATGCCCCACTTATAACTCATTCTGATCATAAGATCATATGAATATTAGTCTCATATTACAGAGTTGCAGCATTCATGCCCCTTCCTCTAAACTTAAACAAAACTAGCAAAACTAAAAATTAGCCCAAGGCCTTGAGAAGAATTCATGTGCCTCGTAAAACCGATCTAAGACGACATTGAAGAGGGGATGAATGGGTTCCAAGAGATTGGAATAAGGACCCATTACTGCCTTGGGCAAAGGTGGAGACGACATGCAAAATCATTATCATCTACAATCTGCATCCCATATTGAACTAGGCACTAATATGTGGCGAATTGGTAAGTATCTTACTAAACACAAACTTCAGCTGAGCAGATGTCTAAATAGCTGTCTTATTGGAGCGTTGGAACAGAAGTGTGTTAATAGTAGATTGAACGCACTAACCAAAATAGAAAGCTTGAGCATGCGCACAAGTTGAACATGTTCAGTCACTGTTGAATGTTCACAACTCACCCCCCATCTAACCAAATATGCCATAACTAAAATCAGGTTTGCCAGGATCATGTGCCGTATAAGTCTTCTTTCACTTATTCACAAGCCACAATACCCTTGGTCGAAGTATGAGGAAGTTTTGTTAACGCGAGAAATCCAATGGATGGAACCATTGCAATAGACTCCTTTATTCAAGTCCACACTATTTAATGGTTTATTTAATCATTTTGGGGAAGGATGAAAATCACCAATATCATCATCCAATGGTGATCTCCGCCAGTCATTGGTTTCCAACGAATAAATATGTATTCTAATCAAGTAGGCATTAACATGCTTAGCCTGAACCAAAACAACTTTGTAGTGAAGTGATTTTAAAGGATCGAAAACCAAATATACATTGTCACAAAGGGAAGAAATGGTAGTGACCAGAAAAGGCCACGGAAGAGTAGAGAATTGGTTGGTTGTAGGATTATAAACGTGCTACGACTGCCTCCTCCAACTGGAGCTACAGCTCTGCTTCTTATTAAAAGTGACGAGTAGAAAACCATTAAGAGAGTCTATGATTCTAGCATAGATATCATGGAAGTGAGGTGGTCCACCATTAATAACGGTTGCAATATCACATTGATTCCTCAAGTGGGGAGAGGATCAAATAGAGGAACGTATTTGATGGTTTCAGCTAGAGATCTAGGGTTGAAAAAAAGGCCGGAGACTTTAGGATGATGATGGGATTGCCGGAGGAGAGAGAAGCGAGGAGTGGAGACGAGAGAGGGTCATGCTTTAGAGACTGACTTGAACCAAATGAGGGATTTTGCCGGCAGATATTGAAGGATCTCCACGGCCAATTCTTTGTTGTCGCCAATAACTTCAGCAGCAGCGGTGGAAGCCATTCAATCAAACTTTTTCGTCCCTCTCTTGGGATTTGAATCTTGTGATAGCCAAATCAAATCCTAATAAAACACTAAATGGCATTAATGCTATGTTTGACGTATTTATAATATAAAAAAAAATTTAGTCATTAGGAAACCTAAAAAGTTAAGAAAATTTATAACATAAGGAAACTAAACAAAAAAGACAAAAAAAACTACCTAATATTAAACTTGCTATAAAAATTATATATAAATAAACAAGAAATCTAAATAATAAAAACTAGTACTAAATACAATAAAATTGTACTACATCTTAATAGGTGCTCCAAAACTCTATATCATTCATCTCAACATAGATTAGCTGGAAGTGGCCATTGCATAAAACTTGTCCCTACACATAAATTAATTAAGATCTTTATTTGAAAATTCCTCATAAGGTTTTAAAAACTTCCGTCTCCACAACACTTCCAACTTCATGAACTTTGTTGATCAAGTATTTCTTAATCATGAATTGTCAGTTATGTTTATACTCTAGAAGATCTGGACCGGATCAATGTTATATTGAAATTGATATATGAAGAATATATAAATGGATAAATTTAGCCATAAAATGTGGAGTTCAAGAACTTGATATAAGGATTAAACCACCTAAAGATACCTTCAAGCTTTTTCACTTACCTTCAAGCTTTTGCACTTGCACGGTCCATTTTAAAAGTCTTAAGGTCCTAGCTCCATGTTTCAATTGATCGTCCCAACAATGACTTTGCGCGAAATCTCTTTAGTAATTGCCCTGTTCTTGAGGAGCTGTTCATCCTAGGAAATGTCGAGAGTGTGAAGAACTTGTATTTGATGTCTCCGTACCGGCCCTAAAGAGTTTTTAGTTCATTTCTTTTAGCCAGAGAAGAATATGAAGTTTTAGTAGATGCACCGATTCTTGAGTATCTTTCTGTTCAAAATGTTTGGATGCCTTCCGATGTGCTAAAGAACGTAACATCGTTGATTAAAGCAGATGTTCATCTTGGAGGCTACTGTGTTCCATTAATGGATGCAGAACGACATGCTGATAGAGTTTTGTGCTTCTCAGAGGAATTTGTAGTGTCAAATATATTTTTAAATTTGATTTAGTATATGCAGCACTTTCACTTGACTATTATGTTAATATGTTACCAAGGACAATTGCTGTGGCTGGAAATGTCTACTAGACTTGCTCAATAACATGCCCTATATGGTGTATAAAATTATGCTGAACAACTATTCATGTAGTTTATGATTCAGAATATGTAAGCTTCTGATTTTTGTCTCCAGTACTTTTCAGATAATGACTCTGAGGATTTCAATTTTGTTGAACAAGAAGTGGTGTCTTGTTGTCTGTCGATGCATCTTCAAGAAATCGAAATTACTGGATTTCTTGGGCTGAGGGATGAGATGAAGGCAGTTAATGATTTTTGCTTTGAATACTTATTTCTAGCCCTTTTATGCTCAACGATCTAATGTCAAATTTGGAGAATTTTGGTCAACAATTTGAATAATTTTGAAATCGAAAGTACAATGTGTTATAGGATTGTTCAGATTGAACCTCTTAAAATTCTCTAGTTCTGTCTTTCGATCTTCATTCACTTTTATTCTTTCAATATCACGGTTCTTGAAAGCATGGCTAACCTGGTGTTTTTTTTTTTAAATTACAGGGCTCTTTTGAATTGAAGATGTGGGGTAACAAACTCTTATCTTACAGTGTAAATAAGATTAACAAAAACAAGAAAATCTTCTTTCAAAAACTGATACAGCAAACAGCAGTACTTTAGAGAGGATTAGTCAATTCACAATGCAGTGTTAAAATAAAAATAAAAATTAAATTAAATAAATAAATAATTTCAAATACTTAAAGATACCAAGAGTAAAGTAGTATAATAGCAATACAACCAAGTAGACACCTAATAACTCCAGGGATAAGAGGATTTTTCTAAGAACTCTCTAAAATAGTTAGAGCCTAAGTGATCAATGAATACCATAAAACAAAATAATATTAATATAATAAAATTGATGGACATAAAACAACCGAAATAAGATTGGAGTTGAAGCAACCATTAGAACATTGAAATAGAAACCACCCAACCTTAAGTGATTACAATGTACCACCACGATCAATCAAACAGGAAAGAGTGTCTCAATGTAACTATGGACACGAGGGTGTGTACGCCACGAAGACGAAGCAGGGCCATCATACCAAGACCTAACAGGACGGCGTGGTACATCACCAAGCTTCCTAAGGGTGTTCTCCTTAATGTTGTAGGAGATGATCATATAATTCATCTCGGTGCGTACAACAAGTACCAAAACCGCATCCCCTTCATCTTCACCACCGATCAAACTAAGCGTTGTTTCCTCTACTGCTGTATCCTTTATTGCAAGATCAACAACCATCGTCGTCGTGTTAAGGCAAACTCGATACTTGGTTGTCCACTTGGAGTAATCACTTACCATCTCCCAAATGTCGACATTGAATCCCATATCATCATAATATTTAAAATAATGCAAATGACCTCCGGACTCCCCAAAAAGGTCACAACCTGCAGTGTAGTTATATGGTGGAGTTGGCATTGGGCAAAATCTTTCTTGATCGACATCGAAGTATAAGGAAGTGTTGTATGCGCGGTAAGAAATCCAGTGGATGGAACCATTGCAATAGACTCCTTCATTCAATTCCACACTATTTAATGATTTATTTAATGATTTCGGGGAAGGATGAGAATCACCAAGTGGTGATGTCCGCCAGTCATTGGTTCCCGACGAATAAATATGTATTTGATACAAGTAGGGATTACCATGCTCGGAAGCCTGAACCAAAACAACTTTGTAGTGAAGTGATTTTAACGGATCGAAAACCAAATATGGATTAATGTCACCAAGGCCAGTGAAAGTGACCGGAAAAGGCCACGGAAGAGTAGAGAATTGCTTGGTAGTAGGATTATAAACGTGGTACGACCGACTCCAACCGGAACTACAACTCTGCTTCTTATTAAAAAAGACGAGTAGAAAACCATTACGGGAGTCTATGATTCTAGCATACATAAAGAGAGGTGGTGAATTGTTTTCTCCTCCACCATTAATAACGGTTGCAATATCACATTGATTCCTCAAGTCGTCGGAGTGAGTGAGAGGAATGTATTTGATGGTTTCAGTTCGGTATCTAGGGTTGAAGAAAAGGCCGGAGACTTTGGGATGATGATGGGATTGCCAGAGGAGAGAGAAGCGAGGAGTGGAGATGAAAGAGAGCCATGCTTTAGAGACTGACTTGAACCGAATGAGGGATTTTGCCGGCAGATATTGAAGGATCTCCACCGCCAGTTCCTCGTTGCCGGCGATGATTTCAACAGCTGCGGTGGAAGCCATTCAATCAAACTTTTTCGTCCCTCTCTTGGGATTTGAATCTTGTGACTATGTTTGGCGCACCATACACGTGTGTGTGTGTGTATATATATTTATTTATTTATTTATATAAAAGAAAGGACATTAATATTGTAAGTTCACAAAATTTAATCAATAAATGATTTTTGGAAAAAAAATTATGGAAAAATTAAATGGTTATGGAAAGTGATTTTCCTCAAAAAAAATTCTTTTTCTGCTAACAAAAACTCCTAAAATATTTTTAAAAATTCCATTTACTTTTTTTCTTACTATTTTTATGTAACCAAACGAAGTGTAAAGGTGGTGTTTACAAGAAAATTATTTAAAATTATATATAAATCTCTATCAATAAGTCTCGAAGTATGGAAAGAAAGAAAGAAAAACTAAAGTATTATGAGAGCATAATGGAAAGAATGCCAACAACAATAATAATATTATATATGTTAATATTTTTAGTTATAAATAATAAAAAAAAAATCTGTAACTACTCATTATATAAATTATTAAAATATTTCTCTATTTTAATCATAATAATTGTATTTTATTAAAACTTGTGAGATTTGTTTAGTTAGAATTATTTATTAAAGTTTTTAAATATTTCATCAAGCTAATAATGATATATACTTGTCAAATTAGAATCAAAGTATTCAAAAAAGAAAAATCAAAAATTAAAATTTAGAAAATTTGAAACAATTTAAGAAAAAAAAAAAAAAATTTGATTTTCTTTCTTATATTAGTTTTCCATATATATTTTTTTAGGTTGCACTCTTTTTTTTTGGATTATATATTTTCAATATATATATATATATATATATATATATATATTTACACACCTACTATGATACAAATCAGATACAACTCCCATTGTTTGAGATTGAAGCCATGGTTCTGTAAATGAATGAAATGAGAATTTTGTAGTAGTCAAGCAATTATAAAACAATTAAAAAAAATAGAAAGAATTATGTTTTGGTATTTAACAAAAATAGAAAGAATTATCTTTTGGTATTTAACAAATGAACTCCTATGAGATAAAAGTTTACCTGCTTGAGACATTTCGAATACAAATTTATCACCCATAAACTCTTTAAATAAAATTCATTGACATAAATTTATATTGTGTGTCAGCGAAGCAACTTTACTTCTTCTTTTTTTAATGTCAATAACTTAAGATTTTAAAATACAAACTTTATTCTTATTATATCAATTTTATTTTAATTTTAAATAAAAAGTATTAGGGTAAATTACATTACAAGGTTTGCCATTATTTTGGTACAAAATTTCATATTATATTATTGCTAATGGTTGTTTCTCTGAAGAAAATTTCTGACTCTGATACAAAGTTCTATTGTGGTTCTCTTAATAATATTCGTAGAAACTTTTATACATAAACCAAATAAACACGTGAGAACTCTAGGAATAAGAGGATTTTTGTAAGCAGAAAAAGGACAACTAAAACTCTCTCAAAATTTCTGTGACTCTTATATGAATGTCTATTATGGTTCTCTTAATAATATTCTTGGAAACTTTGATGCTCAAAAATGAATTTATCAAAAAGAAAAAGAAGACATTTGGTGATCCTCGGCCTATTCGTTAAATTAATGGCCATTAACCTTGATTATATGAGCTCTCTCCGAAGAAGACGACTTTGAATGTTCAATTCGATATATGTGCGTTCGTTTGAATTTTTTTAAAAATAAAAATAGAAAATTGCACATTCCGATTTATAAGATTGCTAAATGTATGAATTTCAAGTACAAAGTACAAATGAGTTATTTGAAATTTATGCCCAAAATAATTGCATCATAATTGTTATAATATATATCACTCATAGTTTTGATTAATAGTTCTTATACCATTGGGCAATAATAGAAAAATTCTATTTATGTAAATAAATCATTATTTTATTTTAAAATAGTACATTTAAAAGTTTTGCTGTGATTTCATTTCTACAATCTCATTTTGTTTCACATTGAAAACAAAAACAATAAAAACGAATTGCTTTTTTAAAACTTCTCATTTTGTTTCTCTCTCAAAACCATTTACCATAATTTCAAATTTTTCCAACAGAAAATCCAACAAAAGACTACAATAAAACATAAACCACCCATATGCAATGAATTTTTTTTTAATAAAAAGATTCCACTAAAGTAAATAAAAATTTCAACAATGGCACACGGTACAGCCTTAATTAATAAAAAGAAAATAAAAAAATAAAAAATACAAAAATGCAGAGGTAAAACTGAATGTAAATTAGTATACGGATCCGAGATGCTAATAAAGAGCACCTCCCAACCATTTGTGCCGCTTGTGAGAAGACATAAGCACTGAGTCACATAAAGCAGAAGTGAAGGCGAATTAAAGAGCAGAAGTGTAAGAGCGGCAGAATTAAGTCATGAGTAGTGAAAATTTGAGCGAGAACGCGCACGTAGTATGAGAGCAGGATCGCATTCGGAGCGGAGAGCAGCACCTATTGAGAAGGATTGTGTAACTTAATGACAGTGCTATTAAGTGACGAAGACTCAATGTTGCACAACAAAGCAAACATTGAGAATTGTAAATTTAATGATGGCCAAAGAAATAAAACAAGTGGAGACTTAACTGGCATGAGATTGGCATGAATGACAATCTATTTTATATATTCTTACTTACTTAATTGAAAATTGACAGTTTAATTGATAATTCAGGTTTAAAAGATAAAAGTAAAAATTTATTTACTGTTAAATATGTTTTATGTGAAACTCAATTTTTATACTTAAATATATATTTAAAGACATAAAAATTCCTGAAATGTTGTTTTAAGTTTGAATTACTTACTAGAGTAGAGTATTCTAGTTTATTAATAAAAAATGAATCAAAGTTTCACATTAGAGGAGCCCACATTAGTTAGGGATTAGGAATAGAGAGGTGCAAGTACTCAATTTAAAGGTAATGTCTATACTATGTAATGCTGTGATATAAATATTACTATTTTATCAACCCAATTCATGATTTATTTACAGGCAAGATTAATTACTAATGATTCACAGGCAAGATTAACTCTCTTTCCAATGGTAATAAAAACACAAAATTTATGAAACTTTTATTTTATTTTCTTTTATTTTTTTAATTGAGTGGATATTATATTATGCAAGGGAAAAAGAAGAGAGAAAGAATTAAAAAAAAAAAAAAATTCTTCCTTTGAAAAACAAAATTTTAAAAAATCATATACTAGAAACTATCTTCTTCTGCAACTAACAGCATCCCAACAAAGAGGGACAATAACACACAGTAAAACAACCAAAAAAAAAACTCAGCTTCATTCCCTATATATATTTTTTGGTTTACTATCAACAAAGCTTCAAACACAGAACAACTATAGTTTTAATAGGGCATGCCCCACTTATAACTCATTCTGATCATAAGATCATATGAATATTAGTCTCATATTACAGATTTGCAGCATTCATGCCACCTCCTTTAATCAACTTAAACAAAACTAGCAAAACTAAAAATTGGCCTAAGGCCTTGAGAAGAATTCATGAGCCTCATAAAACCGATCTAAGACGACATTGAAGAGGGGATGAATGGGTTCCAAGAGATTGGAATAAGGACCCATTACTGCCCTGGGCAAAGGTGGAGAATCGGCATCTTTTGACCAGCTGTACTGACACACGGCTAGGCCGCTTAGACAATAACATGTGTGGTAGTAATCTATCCTTCACCGGTTTGTCTCTGAATCCTCCGTCGTCCAGCTGCATCAACCACATCATGTGAGAATCCAACTCTTGCAAGAAAAGGAAAAATCTACTAATTAAATACATATGCAAAATCATTATCATCTACAATCTGCATCCCATATTGAACTAGGCACTAATATGTGGCGAATTGGTAAGTATCTAACCAAACACAATCTTCAGCTGAGCAGATGTCTAAATAGCTGTCCTATATTGGAGCGTTGGAACAGAAGTGTGTTAATAGTAGATTGAACTAGGCACTAATGTGTGACGAATTGGTAAGTATCTAACTAAACACAATCTTCAGCTGAGCAGATGTCTAAATAGCTGTCCTATATTGGAGCGTTGGAACAGAAGTGTGTTAATAGTAGATTGAACGCACTAACCAAAATAGAAAGCTTGAATGTGCACAAGTTGAACATGTTCAGTCACTGTTGAATGTTCACAACCGACACACCCACCCCCCAATCTAGCCAAATATGCCCTTCCTCAAGCAACTAACTAAAATCAGGTTTGGCAAGATCAGGTGCCATATAAGTCTTATTTCACTTATTCACAAGCCACAATACCCTTGGTCAAACAACCAAAATCTTCATTTAGGCAGTGGCAGCCAAATCTGGCCCTTGTCATCATTGAATCTCGCTTGGAATACATGGAGCTAAAAGCTCGTGTCTCGTATAAATTCTAAAAAGAAAAAGGACAATTTCTTTCCTTTTAGAGGTGAGGCGGGTAATTTTGCTTTTTTAGCAATGAAAAAATGGCCATATCTGTTTTAATAGGCTAAGAACACTGGAAAATGATAATTTTGAACAAGTTGCGCTACTTAACAAGGTTTCCCAGAAGGTACGCTAAGGTAATGAAGGCAGATAATAGGAAGACAAAACCAGACGTGCAAAATTAACCAACTGGGTAGTAGTAAACAATAGTTTAAAGAATCTTTAAAATTAAACACACCTGAGAGCACAGAAGAATATATTGTTGCAAAGCAATGCTGTTGAAAAGAGGTTCCATTTTAGAACGTCCTTTAATAAAATCAAAACCAATGTTGAAAAAATTTACTGGATCAGAAACATTCTGTTCTCCTGCAGGTGGGTCTAGAAACCACAGAAGAGAATCTATCATAAGGAATGCAGTTTCTATCTGTTTTTTTAAATAACAAAAAGTAAACATCAAGAATAATAAAAAAGAACAGAACATATAAGAGGTGAGGGAGATCAGATCCCCTAGCTTGAGGAAATAGATAACATTAATTCTCCCTTACTCTTCTAAGTT